CTCTGATGCATAGCAAGTAATGGCAAAGACTGTGGCCTGTATCAGGCACACCATAGTCTCCAGACTGACACTGTTGCTCCTCAGTACCTTAGAGAGGTCTCTGACAGCAGACTTTCCTAATGCAATTCATCTTTTAATTTTCTGGCTGCTGGTACCAAGAGTGCTGATTGTAGAGCCAAGCAAACTGAGGCTGTCAACAATCTCAGTCTCTTCACCATCTACAATGATGCTGCCAATCAGCCCACTGGTGAGAATCTTTGCTTTCTTAATGTTGAGCATCAATCCGTATTGAAGGCTGCAGTCCTTGACCTGCAGCAAGTGCTACAGGTCCTCCTCAGTTTTAGCAAGCAGGGTTGTGTCATCTGCATAATGCAGACTGTTGATAAGTCTACCTCCAGACCTGATGTCACACTTCTCATGGAGCCCAGCCTCCTGGATAAACTGTTCTGCATATAGATTGAACAGATATGAGGATAGGACACATCCTTGATGTACACCCTTCCCAATTTTGAACCATGCAGTGTTTCCTTGTTCTGTTCTGACAACTGCCTCCTGGTCCAAGTATAAGTTTCATGTAAGCAGTTACTCTTTTGTTGTTATGCTTTGCCTGTCTTTCTGTATCTTTTTCCTATTGGTTGATTTTTGTTTTGTTTTCTTGTGTTTGTTTTTAAAGAAAATTATTTCCATATCTTTTTTTAATTTTTATTGAAGAACACGAAGTTCTGACAAATGCCAAATTCTCGACACTCTTATAATGTCCATACTCACTCTGCCTGGGTTTTATCATTTGCTTCCTGTGTGACCTGAGAAAGCTATGTCCTTCCCATTTCCTTCTGTTCCCTCTCTCCTAGAAAGGCTCTGGCTCATCCAATCTTCCTCTCCACCACACTCAATTGGCCACTAGGTCCTGTTAATAGGATGCTCCTGTTCTCGCCAGCTCTCTTCAGTTCAAGTGCCCTTCCATCCTAGTCTAAACTATGTACAGCCTTCTTTGAGATCCTTGCCCATTTGTCCAAACTTAGCTCCTGACTTCCTACAAACATGCTCTGAATATCAGCAATTTTGCTTGCATTGAAATACCAAACAGACCATTTTTCTTTTATCCTGAACCCTCAATCTTCCATTTTCCTACCTGGGACTTCCTTCCTTCTTTTCCTGCCTGGATGAAGCTTACTGGTCTGATTAAAAGCCTCCTCTAGACAGCATTACTGAGTTTTCTCCAATTCCGACATGTAGTCCAGCCTCTCAGATTATTTACTCTGGATGCAGAGTAAATATATTTGTATAAATAGGGTGAAAGGATGCAAATGTGATGAATACTTTTCTGGATTTTAAAACATAATATTGTCTGTTCTGTTTAAGTCACTGCCTCTTGGTCTATATACATGTTTTGTATGACCACAATTAAGTGTTCTGAAGTTTCTATTCTTCACAACATTATACCTAATTGTGATGATCCACACAGTCAGATGCTCTTCAGAGCTGAAACAAGGAATGATTTTATGGCAAAATACTGGATGATGTAGGAAACATCCAAAGGAGATTAAAGGAATACACAGAGTCACTGTGCAGGAGTTGGTCAATGTTCAGCCATCTCAGGAGATAAGACTTCATCAATAATTAATGATATTAAAGGAAAAAGCAAGTTCCACTGAAGGCACTGGTGAAAACAAGGCTCTGGGAACTGAGAATATACCAACTGAGATAGATGTTTCAACAAATAGAATCAATACTGGAAAAGTGGAAGATGGCTGCCTGGCCAAACAACTAACTGAGATCCATGTCTGAGCTCACTTCAAAGAAGGTGGCCCTACAGAAGGCAGAAATTGTTAAATAGCATCATTAACATCACATGCAAGTAAAATTCTGTTAAAGATAATTTTTAAATTATTGCATCTGTACATCAACAGATAATGACCTGGATTGTAAGCCAGATTCAGACGAGAACATGGAACAAGGAATGAAATCATGAATGATATCAGACAGATCTTGGGTGGAAGATACTTACATTTAACTGTGTGGCTCATCACTAATTGTGGATAATAATGCAAAGAATGGGAATTCCAAAATATTTAATTGCCCTTATGCCAAACCTGCATAGACCAATAGGCTGTCCTTAGTATAAAACAAGTTATTGTTGTTGTTGATTGCTGTCAAGTCGAGCACAACTCATAGCAACCCTATGAAGAAAAGACCTTAAGCCTTTCTATAACTATCATCATTTATCAAAGCTCATAGAGTTTCCAGAGACACGTTGTTTAGGAAGTGGATGCCTGCTTAAAATCAGAAAAAGTGTGTGTCATGTTTGTATCCTATCATTATGTTTCTTCAATCTGTATGCTGAGCAAGCAATAAAAAAACTTGAGTATATAAAGAACATATCATCAGGATTTGAGATAGACTCATTAACATGATTAATTAACATTAAAATTAATTCATTTTATGGATCTATAATCAACAACCACAGTAGCATCAGTCAAGAAATTAAAAGATGTGTTGCATTGGGGGAAACAGCTGTAAAGAATTTCTCCAGTGTTCTAAAAAAGAGCAAGGGTGTCAGTTTTATGACTAAGGTGCACCTGATCCAAGTGGTGGGGTTTTTCCAATTGCTTCCTATGAGTCAGAAAGTTGGGCAATTAATAGATAGAAGATGGTATTGGTATTGGTATTGGTATTGGTATTGGTATTGGTATTGGTATTGGTATTGGTATTGGCAAAGAATATTGACTATCTCATGGACTGCAAAAAGAATAAATATGTCTTGAAAAAAGTCTAACCAGTCTGCTCCTTAGAGGCAAGGATGAAACTTCATCTCACTTTGGGCATATTTTCAGGACAGACCAAACCTTGGAGACACCATACTGGGAAAGGTCAGCAAAAGGGAGGAAGACCCTCAATGGAATGAACTGACACAATAATGACTGTGGTGGTCTTCAGCATGACCGAGATCACAAGGACAGTGCAGGAAAGGGTAAGATTTAAATCTGTCATTCAAGAGGAGCTCTGGTGGCCTAGTGGCAAGGAACTGCAACTACAATCCCAGAGGCACACGGTTCGAATCCACCAGATGCTATGCTGGGGAAGGAGGGACAATCTCCTCCTGTATCAGTCAGATCTGATTTGACGGTACACTCACACAAAAATAATAAAATAAAATAGAATAAATCTGTCATTCAAAGGGGTGCTATGAATTGTAGTCAACTTGATGTCACCAACCAACTGTTGTGATATGTTGATGGCACAGCCTTGCTTGCTGGAAGTTGAAGAAGACTTACAGCACTCACTGAAGATGTTCAAAGATGATTATCTTCAATATGGATTACAACATAAAAAAGATAAAAATCCTTTTAACTAGACCAATAAGCAAAATCATAATGAACAGAGAAGAGACTAGAGTTGTCAATTGATATATACTGTCAGGTTAGGACCACACATAGATGACCCTCCACTTGGTTTTTAGAGACAAAGATTGTCCATCTTGCTGTCATGGGGCCAATGGATTCAAATCACATGTCTTGGGTTGGAAATGCAAATTCTCACCACTAAACCTATAACACTTCATTTTATTTGGCTCTGTAATTAATACCCATGAAAACAGCAGTTAAGAAATGAAATGATGTATCACATTGGGAAAATTTGCTGCAAAAGACCTCTTTAAAGTACTGAAAAGCAAAGTTGCCTTTGGGACTAAGGTGCTGCTGATCCAAGCCGAGGTACTTTGTGATCTTATCTGTAGGGAGCTGCTTTGGTAACCCAAAGGTCATGCCTCTCTGGCAGTTTTCTTGTCAATACAATGGGAAGAGTAAGCTATGAGTTAGTTCTGGCAATGAGCTGAGAATTTGAATTATATACACATGAAAACCAGACAGTGAAAAAGGAAAACCAAAAAATAACTGGCACATGTGCATTGTGGTTTTAGTGAAGAATATTGAATACACCATGGACTGCCAAAGAATGAGCAAATCTGTCTCAGCAGAAATACAGCTAGAATGATCCTTGGAAGTTGGAATGGTGAGACTGTGTCTTACATATTTCTGATGATTTTGGGGGGACAGACTCATTCATGGAGAAGAAAATCTTGCCTGGTAAAGCGGAGGGTCAGTGAAAAACAGGAAGATGTTCAAAGACATAGATTGACAAGTGGCAGCAACAATTGTGGAGATAGCATAGGGTCAAGGAGTGTGTCATTTGCTTGTATATAGAGTTGCTATGAGTCAGAACCAATGAGATGGCACCTAACAACAACAAAACTTATGAATATAAAAGTGGATACTCATTTGGTGTCTGACTTAATGGGAAGGAGCTGCACTGCCACCCACAGGCAGGTGGTTTAAGTCCACCAGCGGCACAGCCTCTGGAAACCTGCTGGAGGATTAGCTATGGCTGATTCCATCTCAGTGGCACCCAACAGCAATAGGCCATAATAAGTCAAGCTCTGGAGGCACAGTCTGTACTGGGTTTGCTGCTGATCCGAAGGCTGAGCATCACTAGCAGTTTGAATCGGCCAGTGGCTCTGAGAAAGAAAGATGAACAGTCTCTCCCATTTAGATTCACAGCCTCAGAAACCTGATAAGGGGCCACTAAGAGTCAGACATTACTGAATGGACCGTAATTCATCTTGGGCACCAGATCCAAGGGTCTGGAGTGGGAGGCAGCCTGCAGATCCAGGACTCAGAAAGCATGGAGACTTAGTCTGGGTAGTGTGAGACAGCCCTGGCTTCAAGGTGTGCACAGATGAGGAGAGGCCTGGCGGGCAGGGGGGCAATCAACAAACAAGAACACACTGACCACCTGCTTACCACAAAGTGAATGTGGCCCTTTTCTACAAATCCCCCTTACTGAATTATAAATTGGCTTTCAGTAGGGGGAAACATATGTACTAACACTAGCTGCTCTGACTCTCTCTGTCAGGTTCTAGTTTGTGGCTCACACCTGCGGCATGAAGATCCAAACACTCGTGAGGTACACGCAGAACGGGGCCAGGATGCTCCCTACCCGGCAAATCATGCTGCCACTCCCCACTGCCAGCGACCTGAAAACAACAGAAAACAACCAGGTGAGATCGGGTCGATTCTGAGTCACTGCAGCCCACGGTGTGGTAGAGCAGAACTGTGTTTCCGGGCTTGCTGTTTATCTGAGTAGATCACCAGCCCTTCCTTCTGAGGTGCCTCTAGTGGACTACTCACATCTAGACCAGGACATCCTGAGAAAATCAGCTGGGTCCTGTGGAAAGTCAGGGGGAGTCAACTGTATTCTAAGATTTAAAAGGGCTTTAGAACAAGAGAGTGTTACTTTAAAACAATTTTTGTTTTACAGAGTAATATATTAATGCTGTTCCTAAGGAGATACAGGTGAGCTCTGGCAGCCTCGTGGGTAAGGAGCTGTGATGCCATCTCAAAGACAAGTGTTTGAATCCACTGGCCGCTCTGTGAGAGAAAGACAGGCAATCTCCTCCTGTGTGACATACGGCCTCTGAAAAACTGCTAGAAGGCCAGCTAGTTGTGAGTCAGTTCCAACTCAGTGGCACGTTTGTTGTTGTGGCCTTTCTGTGGGTTATTAAAGTCTTATGTCTAGATTGGAGCCCACTAAAATAAATCTTTAAGAAGACTGTTGCTTACTAGGCTGTCACATTTCGTTGACTCAATACTTGGCATGTGAACTACTTCTCATAACTATTGTTGTGTGCCATAGAGTTGGAACCGACTCATAGCTGACCCTTCAGTGGGTTTCCAGAGGCAGTTAATCACATGGGAGGAGATTGTCCATCTTTCTCCCATGGAGCAGCTGTTGACCTTCAACCGCATGCATGCCTTTGGGACTGCAGCACAGCTTCTTGCCACAAGGCCACCAGAACAACAGTAATGAGATATAAGCAAGGCATTAGAATCTGAATGAGTATCATCATGTAACTATTTCAATTATTACTTAGTTAAGTGCCATCAACACATAGTGACCCTATGAACACTTTCTCTAAGACAGAGTTGTTTGTTCTTATGGTAGTCCATGAGATATTCAATACTCTTCTCCAACATCACAATTAAAAGGCATAAATTCTTTTGTCTTCCTTATTCATCGTCCAACTTTCAGTTACATAGGAAACAACTGAAAATTTCATGGCTTTGATCAGGCATACTTCAGTCTTTAAATTGACATTCTTGTTCTAGTACTCATGGATGATAAATGACACATAAACAAAAGAATATAGGAAAAACAATAGACATATAAATAATCCTTACCTTACAATGGTTGGATATAGCTCTGCTGTGTAAAGGTAAATGAGGCCAAATGCTGCCCCTATGGTAAATTTGCCAGCCATAGCAGCCACCACACCCCAAACATGGTATTCCTAGAAAAAGAAAATATGCAAAATAGAGAATTCTAAATAATGGTTTTTTAAAGAACAATATTATTCAAAATGGGTGACCCTGGAGATCATGATGCTGAGTAACAATGTAGTATCTCAGCCACAAAATGACAAATACTGCATGGTGCCACTGTTGTAAAACAGGACTGACATTGGGTTGGGGGGAGACTGAGATAGAGAGATTAAATAATGTATTCTGCATTTAAACAGATGAGAGAGAAAACTGTTTAAAAGGGATATGTGATTAGGTATTTTTGTCATGATGGGAATCCAGAGCGAAGGCTGCATAGTGGAGTGGACCTGCAGGGAGGGACTGTAAAACAATGAAAGAACTTTTACTTTTCCAAGAGGGGAGTGTACTGGAGGGCAAGGTTGGGAGGGGAGAAAAGTGCAACAATGAATGAATGGAGGGAAAAGAAAGAAACTAATAATAACAAAAAAATTTTAAAAATATAGAAGCAACCCTAAAGTTCATCAAAGGAGAGAAAAACACAGTATGATATATGCATACAGTGGAATATTATGCATCAATAAAAAGAAAGGAAGTTGTAATAAACGCTACAACGTGGAAACATCTTGCTAACATTAGGTTAAGTGAAATAAGCCAGATACATCAGGGGAAACATTATCTGATTTAAAGAAACTAAATATCCAGAACAGGCAAGTCTATATAGACACATAGAAACATTAGTGGTTATTAGAGGCTGAGACAAGAGGAAATGAGGTGCTATTGAATGAGTACAAAGTTTCTGTTTGGGGTAATGAAAAGGTTTTAAAATAAGTAGTGCTCCCCTGAGACTATGGTGCATAGTCACCCTTCAAATCTGGAACTAAACTCAGCGATTATTTGAACAGGTCCACTTTCAGCCGACCTTGTTGCTGTTGCTAGGTACCATTGAGTCAGCTCTGGCTTACAGCAACCCTATGAACAACAGATCCAAACTTTGCCCTATCCTTCACCATCCTCACGATGGCTGCTGTGCCCAAGTCCTTAGCTAGCTTGGCCACGCTCAAGCCAAACACCGGACAGGCCTACAAAGTGATCAGCAATACCAAGGAAGCAGTCAACCTTAGAACAGACAAGATCAAAAGAGCAGCATTTGCCCAAAGATAAAGCCCAGAAGGCAGAAAGGGATAGCTCAGATAGAATAAAGGAAATGAGCATGAAAGGAAAGAAGTGGGAGGAAAATGTGATTAATTACATAGTAGATATTCTCATCAATGTTATAAAATGTGTGTGAATGATTAGATGACAAATCAATTTGCTTTATAAATTTCCACTCAAATCACAAGAAAAAGAAAACACTGGATGTGATAAAATAAAATTAAATTTATAAAAGCAGTGCTTGTGATTGTGAAACATGAATACAAGGAATACTATTATACATCTAAGATTGTTAATAGAAAATTGCATATTGTATATATTTTACAACAATTAAAAATTCTAAAAACACTTCAGAAAGGAAAGAAGAGAGGGAGCAAGGGAGAAATGGAAAAGAAGAAAAAAGCAAAAAGCTGGTGAGTTGAGAAGGTTGTTTGGGGCAGCTCAGTGTTGGCTACGCTAATAATTGAGACACTCCCTAGAATGCAATCCAGCAGGATGAGTCAAGAAGCCACAAAGACAAATCATCCCATTTGCTGCAGGCATTAGAAAGTGATAATTGAACTATTAGTGCAAAGTAATAACTGAGGAAGGTGGGGTGTGCTGAGTCATCCCTCCACAGGGAAACTGTTGTTTCTTCAACTCCATTTCTGCTGTCTAGTGTGTTTCACCTCAAGCCTTGTCCACATTCCATCTCCTCTCTCCTTCCACCACTGATGCTGAGCTGAGCAGCCTTGGCTTCCTGTGTCGAGAATGGCAGCCCCTGTCAATCTGAGTACACTGAATGGCCCACTGAGCTGAGAACTCACTACTATCACTAAGCCAGACATGTTGTTATGGTACCACACTACACTTTATATGTGGTTGTTGTTGTTGTTAAGTGTCATTAAGTCGACTACAACTCCTAGTGACTCTATGAACAACGGATCTAAACCTTGCCCTATCCTGTGCTATCCTCATCATCTTTGATATATTTTAACCCAATGTCACGGTGTTAACCCATCTAGTTAAGGGTCTCCCTCTGTTCCTCTGACACTTTACCTTTCCAAGCATGAGGTCTTTTTCCAAAGATCAGCCTCTCCTAATGACATGCTCAAAGTATGTAAGATGAAGTTTCACCATTTATGCCTCCAAGGAGCACTCTGCATTTCCTCCAAGACATATTTGTTTGTTTGGCAGTTAATGGGATATTCACCACTCTTCTCCAACACTCAGCTCAAAGGTATTGTTCTTCTGTCATCCTTAATCATTGTACAACTTTCAGATGGATAACAAGTAATAGAAAAGACTAAGGTTTGAATTAGATGCCCTTTAGTCTTTAAACTGACACGATTGCTCATAAACACCTTAGAGATGTCCTTGAGATCAGATTTACCCAGTGCAATACGTCTTTAGATTTCTTGACTGCTGATATAAGGGTGTTGATTGTGGATCCAAATAAGATGACATCATTGACAGCTTCAATGTTATTTGTTGAATGAATTAATACAATTTAAAGAAACATTTTGTGTTGTGTTTTACACTATCATTTGGAGAGAAATGTTCTTAGGAGAAATTTGTAGTCGGTATATAGTGTCCTATTTTTAGAAATCCCCAATTGCCACTCTCCTGGCTTCTTCATTATTGCTGTGGCTTAACTACTGTAGAACTCAAAGGTTCTAATATTGTTGCTTGTGAGCCATGGCATGGATTTTGACTTATAGTGACACTTTAGGGCAGAGTATAACTATTCCCTAGGATTGTCAAACTGTAAATCTTTACAGAAGTGGACTGCCACATCTTTCTCCCATGGTTTGCCTGGAAGGTTCAAAATATCAACAATTTGGGAAACAGATAAAAGTTTTAACTACTGAGATACCACAACCCCTATTGTCTATTCCATAGAGAAAACACTTGGGTTTTAAAAAAGTTTTGTATGTTATTTTAGATGCCATCAGGTTAGGTGCCACAGCAGTAAGATCTGAACAACAGATCTCTCTATGAACAAGAAATCTGAACCCCTTCCTATCCTGCACCATCTTCAACACCTCTGACATGCCATGAGCCCGCTGTTACAGTCAACTATGTCAATCCATCTTGCTGGAGTCTTTCTTTCTCTTATTCTTCACCTTTTCCAGTATGATATCTTTTCCCATCAACTGTGCACCCCTGACAACATGCCCAATGGATGTGACAGAAGTTACACTGTCCTTGCCTCTGAGGAGACCCCTGCTTGCTCATCCTCTGGGACAGACTTATTTGTTCTCTTGGCATTCTATGGGAGAATCAGTACTCCTTCAACAGCACAACTTAAAAGCATCAATTATTCTCTGTTCTCCTTATTCATTGTACAAATGCAACTGGAAGTAATTGACAAGACATACATTCTTTCCATATATCTCACTTGACCTTTATGCTTCTTTTAACAAATATGAAATCTTCTCATCAAACTGCTAGGACTTAGTATACTAAACATTCTCATAGAGAATGAAAGGCAAAATACCAACTCACTTACCGGGGGGATCACCATAATAGCCCCACAGATAAGTGCACTGGAGATAAGGGAGAGCACGAGGACTTTTCTTCTCCCCAACTTGTCCATCCCGATGCACGCACAGATGTAGGCAGGAAGTTCCACCGCACCTGGCATTAGCAGAAGGAAGAAGACAAAACCATGTCATCATGTTGATTCCAACTCATAGCAAACTGATAATGTTGTAGAATAGAACTGTTCCTTTAGATTTTCTAGGCTTTTCTTTGTATAATATTTTTGTTGTGATTTGAGTGACAGTTTACAAAACATATTGGTTTTTCCATTAGTTGTTCAGGCACATTTTGTTTCATACCATTAATTGTTACAATGTCTGATCATCCATTCATTCTAAATTGTCTTTCCCTGCATCCATCTTCTTGTAAGGTGCCATCAGATCAACCACAATTCCTAGTGATCCAATGAACAACAGATCCAAACCTTACCCAATCCTGAAACATCATCGCCTCTTTGCTAGCCACTGTGTCAATCCATCTTGTTAATTATCTTCCCTTTTACCCATGCAGCTTTATGTCTTTTTCCAACAACCGGCCCTCCTAACAGTGTGCTCAAATTATATGACATGAAGTTTCACCACGCTTGCCTCCAAGGAGCGCCTCGTTTGCACTTCCTCCGTGGTAGATGTATGTGTTCTTTTGATGGTCATTGAAATCTATTCAGTACTTTTCTCCAAAACCACCATTCTAAGGCATCAATTATTCTTCAGTCTTTCTCATCCATTGTCCAGTTTTTAGAAGCCTAGAAAGCAACTAAAATTTCCTGGCATGGGTCAGGTGTACTTTAGCCTTTTAACTGGCATCATTGTGCTTTAACACTGTACAGAGATCCCTCACAAAATATCTCCCCAACAAAATACATCTTTTGACTTCTTAACTGTTGCTTCCATGAGTGTTGTTATGGATTCAAGTGAATTAAGCCCTTGGCAATTTCAATCTTTTATCCATTTATCATGATGTTGTATATTGATTTCATTCTGTTTTTTGGGTTTTTTTTGGGGGGCGGGGGTATATTGATTTCTTGATGGTGAGATGTAACCTGTATCAAAGGTTTTGATCTTCTTCAGTTAGTGCTTTAAGTCTTCTCCATTTCTGCAGACAAGATTGTGTCATCCTTTTGTTGTGGTGTTGGAGGAGAATGCAGAGCATTCCAAGCACTGACAAAAGAGCAAACTGATACGTTTTGGAGAACGTGAAGCCAGCGTGCTCCTTAGAGGCAAGGATGGTGAAGCTATGTCT